CGATACATACGATTGAAACCAGTTTAGCGAACAATCACCAATACCTGAGTTTTTGAGTTTGTGCAGTAGAATGTCATGGTCTACTGTGTCAAAGGCCATAGCAAAATCAAGGAAAATAGCTCCAGTTAGGTCTCCTTGTTCCATGCCAGTTTGGATGTCATTGCAAACTTTTAAGAGGGCAGTTGTAGTAGAGTGATTCTGGTGAAAGCCCGATTGATCAGGGGTCAGATAGTTTGATTGTTGGTAGTAGAATGACAAGTCATCTTCCGGCGCCGGCATCCCTACGCGGCGCGCGAGGGAGCTGAAGAGGGAGCACTGAGTGCTTCCTCGTGCGCCCGCCTGCCTGCCAGGCAGCCCGCCCACCCAGTGACCAGGAACCCAGCAGCACCACTGGACCCCAGGGAATCCCCCCAGCACTCCAAAAGGTAAGGAGGCTGGGGGGATTAAATTTGAAAAAAAAAAATGTGTGTGTGAGTGTGTGTGTTAGAGTGTGTGTGTTAGTGTATGTGTGTGTTAGTGTGTGTTAGTGTGTGTGTGTTAGTGTGTGTGTGTTAGTGTGTGTGTGTGTTAGTGTGTGTGTGTGTTAGTGTGTGTGTGTGTTAGTGTGTGTGTGTGTGTGTGTGTGTGTGTGTGTGTGTGGTGTATGTGTTAGTGTGTGTGTGTGTGTGTGTGTGTGTTATGTATGTGTGTGTGTGTTAGTGTGTGTGTGTGTGTGTTAGTGTGTGTGTGTGTGTGTTAGTGTGTGTGTGTGTCAGTGTGTGTGTGTGTTAGTGCGTGTGTTAGAGTGTGTCAGTGAATGTGTCTGTTATTGGGTGTGTGTCTGCTAGTGAGTGTGTTACTGTGTGTGTCTGTTACTGAGTGTGTTTGATGTCTGTTAGTGAGTGTGTGTTTGTCAGTGAAAGTGTATGTATGTCTGTCGCTGAGTGTGTCTCTGTCAGTAAATGTGTGTGTCTGTTAGCTAGTGTGTATGTGTCTGTTCGTGAGAGTGTATGTGTGTGTCTTTACCTTTCTCCAGCGTCGGACTCCCCAGTGTCTGCCACTCAGCTCCGAAATGCACATGCGCGGCAAGAGGCGCGCGCGCATTTAAACCGCCCATAGGCAAGCATTACTCAATGCTTTCCTATGGACGTTCAGTGTCTTCTCACTGTGATTTTCACAGTGAGAATCGCGGAAGCTCCTCTAGTGTCTTCAGCATTTACCTTTCTCCAGCGTCGGACTCCCCAGTGTCTGCCACTCAGCTCCGAAATGCACATGCGTGGCAAGAGGCGCGCGCGCATTTAAACCGCCCATAGGAAAGCATTACTCAATGCTTTCCTATGGACGTTCAGTGTCTTCTCACTGTGATTTTCACAGTGAGAATCGCGGAAGCTCCTCTCTCAGCTGTCACTGAGACAGCCACCAGAGGCTGGATTAGCCCTCAGTGAAACATAGCCGTTTCTCTGAAACGGCTATGTTTTCAGCTGCAGAGTTAAAACTAGAGGGACCTGGCACCCAGACCACTTCATTGAGCTGATGTGATCTGGGTGTCTGTAGTGGTCCTTTAAGTGTGTGTGCATACCGCGGTCGCGGGGTCGCAGCCCTGCAACCCCTGCGACCAGGTGCCCGCCACCATGTGTTGCGACCCCGACCCGTGCTGAGTAAGCGCGCGGGGGGGGCCCACTGATCAATTTTTGCACCGGGGCCCCATGGGTCATGTGTACGCCACTGCCTCCGCCAATATTTCCATAATACTGGGAATAAATCACCAAAGTGATCACCAAAGCCCTTCCCCAAATACTAGATGAGACTTAGTGAAGGGGTAAAACAACAACGTATATTGTCACAAATCACATATTTCTACCAACTGTAGTGAGCTCAGTACTTGGTCTGTAGTTTCTTCAAGCAGGAGAAAGTCACTTCTTCAGTGATTATAGTCCACCCAAACACTAGACGACACATAGTGTAGGG